TGGACAACACGCTACGACGATCGAAGCCAGCAGTGGCATGCTGCGCCATCTACTTCATGCCATGGCAGCTGAACTCAACAGGTTAGACATACCTCTTGTGTTCCCACGACTACTCCATGAAGCCTTCTTCGCCGCCAGCGCGTTCACCTCTTATTATGAGGTGTCTCCATGCAACGCCCTGTTTGGACGGCAACCGGCAATGCCCCCTGACTTGCCTATCTTGGATCACGAACAGCCGACGGAAACGTCGGATCATTCAGTGAGCAGATGACACGCAAGGCATGCATTGAAGCTATCTCTCAGGCCACTGCAGCAGCCAAGACCAAATCGTGCATTACGCTTAAGACAACTACCACCGGTCAGCACTACTACGATGAAGGAGAATTAGTTGATTAATATCGCCCCACAGACACGAAGGACGACTGGGGAGGCTGGAATGGCCTGTTCCTTGTCGTAAGAAACGATCCCGACAGGGGTCAAGCCATCATTCGAGTGGGAAGCCGCGACGTTCAGGTACAATACGTCGGTGCACGACATTCATTGTATATGGAAGGTTTGATAGCCAGAGAGGTCGGCTCCGACAGCACTGCACAACGGACGGTGTTGACGTCCGTGGCCAGTTTACTTGCGGGGATGCCAGACCTGCTATGACAGGCTATGTCCCGACCATGGGGGGGGCGCTTCAGATGTCAAGTGCAAGCCGACTATATCCTAAGGTACATCTGGCTTTACAATACCTCATCAGAAACTTCTTCCGCATCGGCAATGTAGTTCTGTTAGGTTCGCCAAGAGTCTCCACAAGCTATCTCCGGTGGCTTGCGCTGACAGTTGCACATTGGTCCGCTATGACAACGATGTGAATGCAGGATTTCACTTTTATGAAGCAGAAGGCACCGCTCTTAACATTCACGGTATAACTGGATCGGCACATTCAGAAATCATCCAGTGCCTGACGTCCGCCAAACCTCAAGCGGGCATCGACCAGGACCTGACAAAGTTTGAGGAATTGGCGGATCTACCGACACAGGACGGAACCGCAAAAGAAGCCCTAGACGCCGTACCACCACAGGAGGACGGACGGCTTCCCACGATATATGAGGAATCGGAGGCGGACCTCGAGGCGCAGATTATGGAAGTGGTTACAGAACTACGTGATGACAGGGAACTACTGGAGGCATCTCCACTAGAGGACCTTTTCACAGTACCAACACATATGATTCCAGGCGACAGTGCGCTGATCACTGTAGCTGAAGAACAGCGGGGACACCTGCCTAAGTTGGGATACCCACGCGACTCCGACATCGAGCATACGAATCATGTCCCATTGTGCCCCACGGTCGAAGATTGCACTTGCGGACTGACTTGGGCGAAAACGGACAATATGGAGAACTCTGCTTTACGACAGAAATGTCAATTGTGGTCTTATCCGGACAGCAGAACAGGATATTATATGCCGACCGGGTTACCACCATGCGAATATATATATATATATATATATATATATATATATTGCGCCGCTGCTGCAGAGCGAGCTGAGGTCGTCAAAGAGGACGGCTTTCTCGCGACGTCTGACATCCAGGCGAATCCCGAGAAAGTACCGAAGGCGCTATACACTGATCTCAAGACATGGTGTAACAACAGGTGTTTGACCTGCTAGCTATATCTAAATCGTTAAACATTATGACTCCGAGGTGCGTGCACAAATGGACGGCCGCGAAGCACGAGAAGGGCGAGATGGAACGTACCACCAGGTTACGCCAAGCGCTTCGAGGCCTCATGGACCTTGAAGCTTTCGGCGTGGAAGCCTTCTCAGGAACAGCACGGCGGTCAAGCCAGAGACTACTCGCGAGCACGGCAGCGTGCAAGAAGCAATTGCTCATTGTTTCCCTCGACATCAGTATGGCCTTCCTGAGAGGGTTGGCCTATCAGGAACCTGCTGAGGCAACTGGTTAGAAAGAACGTGTGGCTTGCTTTACTCTGCCGCCTGGATCGGCTACGGCGCCCCGAACCCCCCCAGCATTCGAGCACTACGACGAGTCGAAGCACTGCTTGCAGTGCCTCGCGCCAGGTACTGGCACCAAGGACGCATTTCGAGCTTTCTCAGTCATGCTCAGAAGGGCCACGAGAGGTTTCGGTCTCAGACCCACGTCCTACGACGAGGAGTTCGAGACGAGCAGCAACCTGCTCGCGGCCAAACATGTCGATGGCATCAATATGACGTGCGTCAAGTGCGCGGAGAACACTTCTGGTAAGTGTAAACTCAACAAGCACACATGCATCAATTGTGCTGTGAGATATGCCAGGGGCAAGGGCGGCAGCGCTACGTTGGACCAGGACGAATACATCAAACAGCTCCGTCGTATACAACCTCCTGAACTTACAGGCGCCGACGCTGACGCCCAAGCACCCGGCGTGGTTGATGGTATATGTTGTCTCTCTACAACGTGTCCCAGAACCGACCAACATACAAGTGCGACGTCTGAGCGCGACCACCAGGAAACTGCAGGCCCGCCCTGAGAAGATCGCCTACCAAGCGATGATTCCCACGGGCGAAGTTGGCCTGCACAGCGACTCAGGTTATCGACGCCCGAGTGGAGATGCCGATGACGAAGTCGACGGCTGTGGCATTCGCGGAGCAAGCCTGCTACGGCGCGGAAGCACGCCATCCGGCAAGCCTGCCGTTCACTTGATCGATGCGTACTGCAAGTCCCGCCGCTTGCAGGCCTGCTCGAGCTATTCAGCAGAGACGCTAGCAGCGGCCCGCAATTTGGAGGACTGCTACCCCACGATCGTGACCCTGCACGAGCTCCACGCAGGGCCGCCCACTCCCACTCAGTTGAAAGACGCACTTGAGTTGGGTGGCATGAGCATCAAGGTCATTGTGACCATAAATGCTGAGTCTGTTTTTAAGTCCTTGCCAAGCAAAGACGAAGAAGCCGACTGCGTGTGCCCTTTTCTGGACATATCAGCTGGATGCGACAGATGATGGAGCGAGGAATCGTGCACAGTATTCATTGGTGTGGCACCAGCGATATGACCGCGGACGGTCACACAAAGTGGAGTATCGACAGAGAAATGCTCCTACAGGTCATGGGAGGTACGCAATCCTTCGAACATGACTGAAAGCGTCATACTCCTTATCGGGCTGGCCAGACATCTCGGTCTGCAGCCGCCTGAGGAGTACTCGCATGCAAAGTAAGGTGCAGGTGAGGCAACTTGCGCGCGGGTCCACCTTCCTTATGGCCCCGCATGTTTGCTGCCTTTTTGTACATCGTATCTGCTGTGCCTGCTGCATAGAGGCGGCGGGCTCACGCCTCCTCTCCCTCCCCCCCCCGACTTCTAAAGTGAGCTGGGGACACGGGTGAGTGGAAGCGAACGTGTGCCTGCGGCCGCTTGGCTCAAAGCGGCCGGCCGCCCAAATCTGACTACACCTCAGTGCGAGGTGTACCATTCGCCATCGAGACCGAAAACATCCTTCGCTTGAGATGGCCCGTCGCTCCCGCGACGACCTCCTGCTACTGAGACCATCGCTACCTCGATACAACAGATCTGGAGCTGGGTTTCGCCTAATGCGAAGCTGCTGGTTGGGCCTCCCAGCCCTTTTTAAAACTCCCCAAACAACCGAAGTGTGCCCCAAGAACGCGCCAAAAGAGGGCCCAGAAGGGGTCCCGAGGCGGCCAGGGCCCGCCCCGAAGCAGGCCACGACAGGCGAATGGAGGTCCCGAGAGGGCCTTCGACGGTCCCAAGAGGCCCCGAAGACGCACAAGCTGCCTTCAAGACGGCCGACGAGGACTCGAACACGCTCCAGGACGGACTGAAGAGGCTCCCCAAGAGGGCTTTGGGAGGCAAGATTCACTCATTTCCTATGGTTTTTTAAATAGGATTAAGGCGTTTTCGCTTCCCCCGGTTCCCAGCGCTCCCTCACGGCCTCGCTCGGAGGCCTTTCAGATCGTTCCAAGACGGGCAAGGAGGCCCCGAAGAGGGCCCCAAGACGGCCCACGAGGCTCCCCAGACAACCCAACTGTGCCCCACGAGCTCCCCAAGGGAGGGCCCAGAGGGGGACCGCCAACCGATATTTCGTGGTCTCTGGCCGTAGAGGCCACCTGTAGGCCCCCGGAGGCCGCCAAGAGGTTCCCACGAAGCCCCGTGAGGCGCCCAAGAGGCCCCCAGGAAACCCCAAGAGACCCCCAAGGGCTCCCAGGGAACGCCCAAGAGGCCCCCCAACACACCCCAAAAAATCATGTCCCCAGAAAACCTTCCAGGGACATGGTTCATCATGGGCCCGAGAGTTCCCGGAGGCGCCCAAGGGGCCCCCAGAGAACGGCCAAGTGACCCCCCAACACACCCCAACAAACCATGTCCCCAGAAAGCCTTCCGGGGACATGGTTCATCATGGGCCCGCGAGTCTCCGGAGGCTTCGAAGTACCATCATGAGGAGAGCTGTTTGGGAAGTTGATTGGGATCGTGGCCCTCCGCAGATCGTCTCGCACAAAGTTGCCCCAAGTGCCCTTTTGAGTTGACGACGACGACGACGACGACGACGACGACGACGAAACGACGACGACGACGACGACGACGACGACAACGGCGACGACGACGACGACGACGGCGCGCCCCAATAGGCGACGACGACACTACGACGACGACGACGACGATGACGACGACGACGACGACGACGAAGACTGCACGCCCCAACAGGCTCCCCAAGACGCCCCAAACCCAAGCTCCCAGAAGGCCTTTTGGGAACCCGATTCATACGGCCTCCGCCCTCCTACACATTCATTTCCTTCGAAGGCCTTTCGGGCTGCAGATTGGCATGCGTGGACTGTGGTCCACTACTTCAGTGCAGCAGTGCATTCGTCAAGGCCTGGGGCCTGCTAGAACCTGAGCGCGCTCGAAGCGCGCGCGATGGTTCTCGTATGTATATATATATATATATATACAGATGCTGGCACACATAAGGCACGACCACCACAGCGATCCCATTATACACAAGCGTGCGAACACTTCCATCCGTACACAGAAGTCGATATGCCCTCTCCGCTTCCATCCCGGCCATTCAGTGTGATCTTTTCCCCACGTGTTCTTCGCACAGTTTAGTTATAGTTGTTCAGATCTTCCCCTGTGGCATGGCATGTGTGGCAAGGGCCATGCGTTGCCGCCTACATCGATGTATGTAGTGGCGATATGTAGTCACGCGGCGAATTCCCAAACCATCTGAATATAGGATTTGAATACGTTCATGGCAACCGTGTTGCGGTGAGCCGCCGACACTTCTTGCACGACGTGCGAATGTACAGCAGCGTACGCATGAGCGGAGTGGGCAACGTGTTGTTTCGATGTCAGACATCTTCCAGTGAAGTAGAATTCAGTACACTTTGTATATATTCAGAGCGTTGCAGCGGTGCGCGTTGTCGAGGTGGCTCTCTTTTGTTCTTGCCAGCTGGTGGTTCGAGAGTCTGAGCGTGACCATGTGAAATAGGCGTGATCGCCCCCGCATGTATCGAGCATCCGTTTGAACGGACAAGTCAAGACATTTGGTACGACAATGTTTGTCTGTGTTACCATGTCCTAGCTCCACGCCAGCGCACGATGCCGTTTGCTTTAAGTACTGGCGATTCCCCACCCAGCAGGCCGTTCCAAAATCTGTGCGACATTTGTTTCTGGGCACTCTGGTTGCGTGCTCCTCCGCTGGAGGAAGGCGCCATCCCTCCTTTTTATCTTGCTTATCCACCCCTCTTGCTCACAGGTCCTGGTAAGGGAATGCGGGCGGCCTCTTTTGCGCAAGGCGTGCGCCGGGAACCCCATTTCCTGGACTCAGGTCACGGGTGCAGGCTGCAATGGGGAGGCCAGGGACTGAGGGAGAGAGGAGGGACTTACCCTCTTCCCCCCCCTCCGTGCGGAGACAGGATGTAATGCGAGAGCGCGTGGGCAGGTGAGAGCAGATTCTGGTTCCAGGGATCATGATTTCAATGAGAAGGATTGCGATGAGAACGAGAGGGGGTAGGATTGACCTAATATGTCATGGCCAGGTGGAGGCAAACGCTCTGATCAGGGAGATGATGAGGTGGCAGACTCAGGCAGCTCCGTGTTCCCCTGAAACGCGAATGTTGTAAAAGGCTGCAATTGTTTCGAGAGTTCCCGTTGGTTTGGCACAGGATGTAAAATATCAGCCGCCAGCGTACCGTGCCGTGTCCGGTTGCCGTGCCGTGCCCACGTGTTGAATTTGGGGAAATGTGCCGTGCCGTGCCTGCGTGCCGTGCCGTGCCGTGTGCAAGCTCTAGCGGGGAATGTGCGGTGCCGTATTTGCGTGCCTGGTGCCTCCTTGGCCTGGCCCGGTCTGTGGTGGAGCCGGCGAGCGCGGCAGCGGCGATGGCGCGAGTGCATCACCTTGCCTTGGTGGATGCTCTGGCCCAGTTCGGCGGCCGCGCGGCGGAGCAGGACCTGGCCGCTCTCCTGCACGTCCCCATGAAGGAGAGGCGCCGGCAGCTGCAGCGCCAGCTGGACGCCGCCTTCGGCAGCCTCCCGGACCCAAAGCTCGCGGAACGGATGGGTCTCATTGCTGCCAGCATCCACGCCGCCGTAGGTCTGCCGCAGGCCAGCGGCCTTACTGCCGTCGTGCCCCTGGTTTGCCGCGCGCCATGCGGGGTTCCCGGCGGGCGGGGCGAGCCCCCCCCCCCCCCCGCCTTTTTTTTGTATTGTTTTCTTTGCATTCTGCCACTTGATTCCTTTAGCGCTAATAAAACGAATTCAGTGCCGGCGTGCCTTGCCCTGCAGCGTGGAGGTTCTAGGGTGCGATTAATGCGCCGTGCCGTGCCGTGTTCTGTTCATGTGTCGGGCCCTGCCGAGCTTGAGCTCCAGTAGAGTGCGAAAAGCGTGCCGTGCCCTAACTACCGCGCCGCACCCACGTACCGTGCCATGCGCCGTACCATGCCCTCGTTCCGTGCCGGGCAGCGCCGCGCCGTGCTTGTTCTAGAATGTGAAAATGTGATCTGATGTGCCCGCGTTTTCGCCCGCGTGCCATGTCGTGCTTGTCTTAAGTTCCCCAATCAGCGTTTGCATTTCGGGGTTCTTACCTGTGCGTCTGGGGGATTGGATGAGTGTGACGGGGTTTCGGTTGATGCCCAGTTGGTGCCGTTTCGTTGCCGCCTCGTGTGTTGGGTGGTTGCGTCGGGGTTTCGGCTGGTGCCCGGTCGGTGCCACCCCGTTGTCGCCTTGTTGCCGCCTCGTGCGCTGGGTGGGTGTGCCGGGGTTCTGGCCCGTGTTCGGTTGGTGCCGCCTCGTTGCCGCATTGCACGGTGGTGTGTAACCCCGCGCCCCCGATAAAAATGCACCCCCCTGTTCCCCCCTCTGTTTTTTTAACCCCGTGTCAATAGGATGTAATTGTGGAGAGGGGCGCGGAGGCCAAACTTGATAATCCCCGGGGTGATATGCGAATCGAAGTTGCTATCATTTCATTTTGACGAACAACATCATCAAAAACGCTGAGTATGGCCATTGTGGTCTCATTATTTCAGCTTCCGCAAGCACGAGCGTGTGGCAGGTCTGTGGGATACTCACCGGTTCAGTTTGCCCAAGTCACGAACGTGCGGCAGGGCCTCGACGTTTGTTGGCCAGAAGTGCCAGGGACCTCTCTTGCGCAGACAAGTTGTAGCCACGAGCCTCGGGATCTCTCGGGTCAGTCTTGTGCCAAGATCTACAAAAGGTCAGTCTACACGAGCGCCCAGGATCATCATCAACATCATCATCATCATCATCATCATCATCATCGTCATCATCAGCATCATAACTTTCCTAACATCGCACTCCCCGGGGAAATCGTGGATTATCCCCGCCAGACCCCCGAAGTTTCTTATCCCACGGGACTTGTTATCGGGAGCGCAGGGTTATCGTGGCTTCGGCTAGATCTAGTTTGGTGCCGCCCCGTTGCCGCCTCGTGTGGTGGGCGGGTGCGTCGGGGTTTCGGCCGGTGCCCAGTTGGTGCCGCCTCGTCGCTGCCTCGTGCGCTGGGTCTTTGTTTCGAGGTTTCGGTTGGTGCCCGGTGGGTGCCGTGTCGTTGTCGTCCGTATGTGCATGCATGTACATGTGTATGTCGAGTGTGTGTACGTAGATACGCGCGTACATGTCCAAACATTACTTGCAGCCAGGGCATGTGACGCGGGTTGCTGAATTATTCATATGCCGAGGATCCACCACGCTGCCGTCCGTCAGCGCCTGTGGGAGTATGCCGAAGATTCGACACGTTTCCGGCCTGTTTGTATGGATTTGCTGGGGATTCGCCGCGTTGCCGCCCGTTGTCCAGTGCTTGTTGTGCGGGTGTGCAGCGGAATCGCTGTGTTGCTGCCCGTTGCTGCCTTTTGCCGCCCCGCTGCCGCGTCGTTGCCGCCTCGTGCGCTGCGTGGGTACGCCGACGATTCGCCACGTTGCCGCCCGTTGCCAGCAGTTGCCGCCCCTGGGGGATGTATGGATTTGCCACGTTTCCGCCCGTTGCTGCCCCGTTACCGCCCCTTGCCGCCAGTTGCCGCGTGTGTGCGTATGCCGAGGAAGCGCCATGTTGCCGCCCGTTGCTGCCCGCTGTCGCCCGTTACCGCGTCGTTATCGCCTCGTGTTGTCGTGGTTTTTAACACCACATGGCTTACGTTCCGAAAATGCAATTAGTTGTTGTTGGTTTGGGGTCTTCGTTGGCACACATTTTAGCATGCGACAGCTGTGCAGTATTTGATTTGCCTACAGCAGTGGCCACCCAAGCCGAACATGCCCCAAAAGGGGTTGACCCATCACGCGTCTATTCGGGCAGCTTAGTTTTTTTGTTTTTTTTGCACGGAGTAGCGCGCAAGCTGGCCCCCCGTGATTATCCCTGGCCCCCCGTGCCCTGACCTCCCTGGGAGCCCTGGCTTTCAGCCTTCCTGGGAGCCCTGGCCTCCCTGCCGTCTACGCCTCGCCCCTACCACCTGGCGTGATGGGTGGTAGAGTCCTGGCCTCGGGCCTCCTTGGCCTCCCTTGGACTCCGTTGGCCTTGGCTCCCCTCCCCAAGGCTTCGGATTGTTTTGTTTTCGTCGCTGTGTCGTCGCGACAAACAAAGCACGACCCTGTCGTGCCTTGCCGTGTCCCTGTCGTGCCTTGTCGTGTCCTTCCGTCGTGGCCTTCCTGGCCTCGCTGCCTTGGCCTCCTTGGCCTTGGTAGCGATGGTATCCGGCCTCCCTGGATCTCCGTCCAGTCCTGGGCGGAAGCCCTGGCATCTCGCCTCTTTGGCCTCCCCTCGCCTTCCCTGGCCCTGCCCGCCGCCCCCCCCCCCCCCCTCCAGGTTTCGGATAGATGTATTTCCCACCTGGCAGGTCGGGGTCGTTAGGTTTTAGGAACAGACCTCTCGGCCCGCCCGCCATGCACACCGCGGCAGCCAGATCCCCAGGCTCCCGATAATCCTTGATGGTCCCGCCTCCCCCCCGCCTTGCATACCGCGGCCGCCAGATCCCCAGGTCCCCCGATAATCCCTGAGGGTGCCGCCCCCCCGCTCTGCATGCCGCGGCCGCCAGATCTCCAGGTCCCCCGATAATCCCTGGTGGTCCCGCCCCCGGCGCTGACTCGCCCACTCTGAATACTGCGGCCGCCAGACCCCCAGGTCCCCCGATAGTCCCTGAGGGCGCCGCTCCCCGCGCCGACTCGCCCACTCTGCATCCCGCGGCCGCCAGATCCACAGGCCCCCCACACACTGGAACATAACACCACACCACCGAACCGAAGAAATCCTAACATAACAGACCAGACCATGACAGACCATATCGTAACATAGCACGCCATGGCAGGGAGGGCCACACCATAGCATAGCATCACAGCGCAGATCATGCCATACCATGACAAATCAAACATACCATACCAAAGCAGTACATTACCGGGCATACCACAACAATACCATGCCACATATTTTCATATGTTGGCATCGCATGCCATGGTACACTACTGCATAACAGCGCCTGCTATGACATATGGGGGCATAAGCATACTAATGTCATATCATTTTATCACATGATAGAAACTGCCACAATAAAACACAGCGTATTACAGCATCGCAGCACATATCATCCCATGCCATGACACCTCATACCATGGCATCGCGCGGCATAAGCTGCTTGATCATGCAAACATGGCATAGCATTTCGCCATACGCTTTGACATTAGTGGCCACACACACACACACCTCACAACACATACCATATCACACGATGACATACCATGACATAACAATGAGCGCGAGCACCTTCGGGATCAAGCGCCTAAGGTGTCGGTGGGGACCGCTCGAAGCAAGATAACGTTCGTCGTGTCGTGTCATGTCGTGTCGTGTCGTGTCGTCGCGGCCTTCCCTGACTACCCCTGCCCTGGCCTCCCTGGCCTCTCTGATTGCCAGGGTCTCCAGTTTCCCGGGGTACATGGTATGGTAGCCCTGTTCTCCGGCCTCCCTGGCCTGGTGCTCACGTGGGCAGGGCGGGATAAACATCTTCCTTACCTCGGGGGGTGACCCCATTCCCTCCGTTCTCCTAGTCCCGCAGTTGCGCACTGCGTCGGCATGAGGCGGCAGGGAGTACGGGCGGGGGTCCATGCCGGAGAGGTCCCCGAAAGGAGCCTCTCCCCAGGCGATCCCCCCTGCTCCCCCTGCGTTCGCTTCTCGGGCGAAGGTGCGGCGTCCTCTGTGCAGGCGGCTGGGGTTCGGAGGCGGGCAAGGGAAGGCTGGGCAGCCACAGGCCGCCACCCCCGCCCTCCTCCCTCCCCCTTCCTCCCCTCCTCGCACGAGCGAGCCTGCCCTTTCCCTTGGGTGGAAGTCGTGGAGTCGATGCAGTCGCCCTCTCGATCCTCTACGGGAGGACGCCTACCTACCTACCTATTCGTTGGACCTCCCCCCAGGGCTTCGGAGCTTCGGATTGCTTTGTTTTCGTCGCCGTGTCGTGCCGTGTCGTCGTGACGTCGTGATTTTCCCTGGCCCTCTTGCCCTGGCCCCCCTGGTAGCCCCAGTCTCTGGCCTCCCTGGGTCTCTTGGCCACCCTGGCCTCTCCTGGCCTCCCCTGGCCTCCCCTGGCCACGACCCCCTCCCAGGGCTTCGGATTGCTTGATTCTGTTCGTCTTTTCGTTGCGCGTTTGCGTGTCGTCGTGGCATTTCCTGGCCCCCCCTGCCCTGACTTCCCTGGCCTCCCTGGTACCCCTAGCCTTCGGCCTCCCTGGTTGTCCTAGCCTCTCTGCCCTCCCGCCCCCCTCCCGGCCCTGGCGTCCTGGGTGGTAGCCCTGAGCTCCGGCCCCCATGGCATCCTCTGCATCGCCTCCCCCGGCCCTGGCCCCCTCCCGCAGGGTTCGGATTGGTTCATTATCTTGCACAGTTGTGTTCTAGACCTCGGACCCCCATATTTCCGTCTCGTGGCCGTGGCCGTGGTCGTCGGGCCCCCTGGCCCTGGGCCCTGGCCCTGGCTCCTGGGCGGAGCGTCGTTCGGCGTCGTCCGCCTCCCTGACCAATGCGGACCTGCCTGACCTTCTGGCCCAAGGCTCCCGGCCCTTCCAGCCTGGCCCTGTGGCGCGGAGCACAGCTGTGTTCTAGAGTTCGGAGCTCTTTATGTTTGTGGTCGTGGCCGTGGCCGTGGCCGTGGTCGTCGGGCCCCCTGGCCCTGGGCCCTGGCCCTGGCTCCTGGGCGGAGCGTCGTTCGACGTCGTCCGCCTCCCTGACCAATGCGGACCTGCCTGACCTCTGGCCCAAGGCTCCCGGCCCTTCCAGCCTGGCCCTGTGGCGCGGAGCACAGCTGTGTTCTAGAGTTCGGAGCTCTTTATGTTTGTGGTCGTGGCCGTGGCCGTGGCCGTGGTCGTCGGGCCCCCTGGCCCTGGGCCCTGGCCCTGGCTCCTGGGCGGAGCGTCGTTCGACGTCGTCCGCCTCCCTGACCAATGCGGACCTGCCTGACCTTCTGGCCCAAGGCTCC